TAATCAGTTTGTAATTTGTAAAGAAAAGTTACTTTCCATAGATGAGATTTCTTCTCAAGAAATATCGCTGAGAGAAGCAGCTGCAGCTAATTCGAAAAGTGGAGGGCAAGACTATACATGCTGTCATTACAAAAAAAAAAGTGTTCCATGAATAAATGCAGTTGTAAAAGCAAGGGACTCTTGTGCAATTCAAAGTGTCATAACAGTTTATGTTGTTGCAATAAATAAGATTGTATAACGTTAATCACATAGATTATGTGTAAGTTTATTATTGTATTATTTTCTTTAATGATTTAGGATGTACTGGTCGTTTTAGGTTTAACAGTTTATTTACATGTACTGTTAAGCTTTCTCCTATTTTGACATATTAAAAAGTTGCATTTTTGTCTTAAAACGTAATAAAAATATTTTTATTCAACATTCATCATCAGTGCATGCTGAATGTTGACATTTGCCTGTGTAAGTGAGAAATAATGATATTTAGCAAATATTTCGTACATACACGAAATGACTGTGTGTGAATGCTGACATTCACCGGAGAATGTTGACATTTGCCAGATATCGGTCATTCACAGTAACATATACATATATACCATGTCGGGTAAAGTGATAGCCGGCTGTGTGCCATGATGGAGTACATAGGCTATGGATGTAGGAGTCAGTCCCAGCTGGCACCATAAGTAATCAGTTACATCTAAATTTAAATACATCTGGAAGCAAAGACTTGCTTGGGGCATAAGTGGCAAGGCACTGCATGGTAAGCTGTAGTTGTAAGTTCAAGTCCCGCTCTGGGCTAGTTCTTTTCTTCCAGAATGTTCTAAATTATTTAATAAATTATTATAATTATTAATTTAGATAAAAGATGGCATCTAATGTCTAACTCTAGTACCAAATTACTTAGTTTTTAATTATTAATTATAGCACAATAGTCTGATTAATTACGGTGAGCATTTGGATTAGTACCAATACACCAGGCTTTGGGATGTTAATATATACACATTACCCATACTTCCATTTGATCTTCATTTTCAATATATTAATTTAAATTATATAATCATATATAGTGGAATCTCGCTTAACAAGCACCTTGCGTAATGAGCAAAGCAAAATGTGAAAAAATGACTCACTTAAGAGCAACATTTCATGTAATGAGTGATCAGGAGAGGGGAAGTCCTGGATTGTGTGCATGCTCCATCAGTCTGTGTTTAGCACTCATTCTGCTAGCATCTTAGTGTCGCTTGTAATCACACATTTTTCCAAATGTGTGATCACACACATTACGTATAAACATTAACAATCATAGCCCATTATATAATAAACATGCCAAACGATATGCCAAATTCTTGGGCTATGTAAAGGCTATAATTAAATATTAGAAATTAATTAATTTCACTAGAGGTAGACAGTTATGCTGCTATCTTGCATTAAATTTAATTACCAATTCTAAATTAAAAATTAATTATTTATAATTATTAAATGTAATATGTACTAGAAGCATAACTGCCTACCTTCAGTCAAATTAATCAATTTATAATATTTAATTATAGCCTTTACATAGCTTAAGAATTTGGTGTATGGTTTGGCATGTTTATCAGACATATTATCTAATTTTTTTTTTTTTGTTTTCTGCAAATTGTATTCACATTTCAGGTTGGTTCATTCCGCACTAGAAGAAAAGATGATGATTCATGCTCCTTAATGATGTATATTGTATAATTTTCTTTGAATAAACATTATACATAAAATAATTCGGTATTTTTTTCAGCATGGAACGCATTAACATATTTTACATTAATTTATATGGGAAAAATTGTTTCACTTAATGAGTGTTTCACATTACAAGTAAGATTCTGGAATGAATTATGCTTGTTAAGCAAAGTTCCACTGTATGTTAATTGGATAATTAACTTGGAGAGCTTTGGATATAGATATCTCCTGTCATAGCTCTGTATAGATACATAGTTTAAAGTAATATTATATATGTCTAGAAATGAAGATCAGTTGGAGATGCATTATCATTTATATTATTTGGATCTAATAATTTTTAGGTAAATTGTGTGTATGCTTGGGGGAAATTTTGAGAACTAAAAATATTCTGCATTGTTGATTTGCTGTACTGAAATGTGTTTGCACTAAAACATACATTGTTTAAAAGTTACAGAATATAAAAAAAATGACATGACTGTTTTGTACAAAAAATATAAAATGTGAAATAGAAGTTGGATTAATAAAGCAAGTCATGCAATAAACATTCAAATTAAAATTTGCTTAGTTATTTTAAAATTTGTATTTTAATATTGATATTTTTATATAAATTTTTGTGGCTAGTTGTCAACAGTTTAATCAATTTTCATAAAATAAATATTTTAAAGTGAAAATATTGAAATATTTAAATTTTTATTAAACTATTGAATTTGTTCAATGATGATATTCATTATGTAGATGGAGCATATCTTGCTGCTGCTTAAAATTTTTTGATGTGCATATTTTTTAAACTCATTGTTCATTCATTATCTCTATATTAATTGAAAGAGGGTTTTAGCTTTTCTGACTTAGTTTGAGTAAACAGCTGGGACTAAAAGCATGGTTCAGATATAAAATTAAAGATCTTATCCATTAGATGATGATGCTGAAGAGATACATGAGAAAGGTGCAATGGTTCAGGCACAGTGAAGTTGCAAAGATATGATGTTAAGTCTATGGGACAAACATGTTAGGCAATTATAAAACCTGTTGCAACCTCCACAACCTACATTTTTGGAAACCTCATATATAGAATATAAAAGAACAAGTAAATTATTCTAAACAAAAGACAAAAATTATCACAAGACCAACAGCTAAACAGAATAACTAACTCTCTCAAAACACAACAAAAGCATAAAGGAATTGCTAACATAGACTAAATTAAGTGTAAATTAGTATGCTATTTAGAAATGAGCATTCTCTACAAAATAATTTTATTTCAAATTAAAAAGCATAAAATAAGTATTTTTTTTAAATAATATAAAACAACAAATATAATTAAAACCTTAATAATTGAAAAACAACTGAACAAATAATATTAGCAAGATAACCCTAAATCTTCCCTCATGTCATTCTCCCATCTAAAACAAATTTGAACTCTTCCACTACTGAGAAGACAACTTCCCTACCATTAAAGCCTAGCCTGAGAGTAAAAACAATTTTGTATCCAGGTATCAGTACATATCAATAAACAATTTTTAGAGTTTAAACAATTAACATTACATGTTTATAACAACGTTGTTTATCATTGTTTTGCTGTTATAAATCATCAATTCAATCTTCTGCATGCTTTTTATTTTTTTTTTAATTATTTTCCTCATATAATCAATAAATAGGTTACTTTAAGTGAAATTATCTTAATTATCATACTAATTACATTACAATTAGTCTAGTTTTAATTTACCATTTCTTATTTAACATTGAGGAACATGATCAAAGTCTAGATGTTGAGGGTAGCAGACCCTCAATATCTAGATGGCCAACTAGAATGGATGTTATGCTAGCTGATGATGATGAAACAACACAGCCAAGAAAGTGGAGAAAAAATCTTTAGCAGTGTTAGAGAGTGTAACTGAGATTGCAAGTACAAAGTTGTGCAAAGAACAGGCAATATGATGACAGTGGTTGAAGAAATCGTTGATTCTTCTCAAGAAACACAAATTCTTGATATTGCAGAGGCTCTAGAACAGGTTGGAATTGGAATTGTTCAGACATTATAGCAAGTTGTTCCAGCCAGGGGTGTCCAGCCTGCGGGCCGCATGTGGCCCAAGGGAAGTTCGAATGCGGCCCAATAAACATGTACACAANTATTGAATTTTATAATTTCAGATCATCTTATGCAGATATGTTACATGATAAAGAAAGGGTATGTATAAAAAAATTCTTATCTCGATTATTTTGAAGTGTCGTATTAATTATAAAAATAAACTATCTCTGCTCTTGTGACAGAATCAAAAATACTACTCTGCTATAAGAATTGCTATTGAAACAATGAAGAAACATGGAAAATCTGCTAAAGTATTAGATATTGGAACTGGAACTGGTTTACTATCTTTAATGGCTGTTCATTGTGGAGCTGATTCTGTAATTGCTTGTGAGGTATAAAATTAAATTTAATTAAGTGGATATATTAACTATTTTTTTTAACAGTTATCTTCATAATGTGGAAAAACAATAATAATGAATTCTGCTTAATATTTTTATATATATACAAGTATATAAATTAAATTTGCTTTAGAAACATCACCAAACGATTGCCTAAATAATCAAGCTTAAACTATATTTTGAACCACCAGTGGGCGCTTTAACTTGTGTCTACACATGGTACTCGTTGCAACTAGTAAAAAATTACTGAGAACGAAATTATTGCAAAATAAATTGTCTGAATTATCAAACGTGGTCGGTTGGACGACTATGACAAGAATGAACGTATTTTCTTCAAAATTTAATCCTATGACAGGAAGTAACGAGTGGTTGATGCAGGAGGAAAACTATGATTATATTCAAGAAATTGCAAGGTTTACTTTTGTCTATGTTCTCTGATCATTCTCGAAGATTAAACAGATATAAATCTTTTTTTGTAATTTATTAGCTTAATGTATCTTTGATATCATATAGCTTCAAAAGTCACGTGGTTCTCAATTTGCTTGAAGTAAATTTAAATAACCAGCATTGTAAAAAATAATTTATATTTTCTAGTTTACAAGAGAATTTACTTGCATATTCTACTTTAATATATAGGATATTTTATTTATTTTCAAACGTTATATTCTGTTAATAAAATTTTATGATTGCTTTTTCTAAATTAGCTGAATTATTAATCATCATGGAGTATTATTTAATTTTTTTTTTTTTTTTTTTCAGATTTTGAAATTCAGTCTTCAAACTTATCTTATTCTNTTTATTTTTGAGTGAAAAGGAAATACTTTCAAATACTCAACGAAGGAATACTAAATAAAGCTGAAGTTGTAACTCAAAGGATTATACACCCAAATTTGAGAAAAGGAGAGAAAGGCCAAAAGATAAAAAGTATTGAGAAAGGTTAAATAGACCTTCTGTTATACAAATATTGACCCTTAATTTTCCAACCTTCCTCACTACTTTTTATCTTTTGTTCTTTCTCTCCTTTTCTCAAATTTGGATCTATAATCCTTTGAGTTCCAACTCCAGCATTATTTAGTATTCTTTCCAGCGTTGCAAGATTTGGCTACTTTGCGCCAAATTTGGCTACCCTTTTTTAGTTTGGTGTAAAAATTATCATTTTGTGTATTGGTTACTTTCTGAGCTACATATTATTTATAATATTAGTCAAATGAAAATGCACTTTAAAATGGTGTTTTGTCGTTTTTTATTAATTAGAGACCCAAATAAAACAAATATTTGTGTTTTTCAAGTAAATTTTTGTTTGTCTCCTTTATAATAAATGAATTTATTTATTTCTAAATAAAAATTGAAAGTGCCTGTAAAAGTAATTTTTAAAAATATTCTTTTTTGTGGTAAACTTTTAATACTTATTACTATAATCTAGACATGTTAATACTTAAATATACTTGTTTATTTAAGGATTGGGTCAAAATATACTTGTGGTCCAAAACTCCATGACTTCTTCCAATGTGGCCCAGAGAAACAAAAAGGTTGGACACCCCTGATTTAAACTTTGCATCAAATTTTGGGACAAGATTGAGCCATTAGTCATTCCTTTAGCCACAAATACAAGACTGTCTTCTCAAATAGCACTTGACCTGAACATTCAACCAACTTATTTTGATCTTGAATCACTGTCATATGTACCAAAGTTGTTTGGCTTTACACTTTGAATGTGAAAAAGTTGGTAGTAGAAATAAATTTCAATTTAATGACTATTGCAATAATGGAAAAATAAAGTTGTATTCTACCTGTTGTCATGAGGTTCTTGAGAACATTTTGCATGAAAAAACTCAACTACTCAAGAATACCCAAATAACATCTGAAGGTACTGTACAATAGTTTGTTGTCATTTGCTTTCTTTATTGCCAATGAGGCCGTAATTCATAAGGGCTGCAGACCATACATGTTTAAGATCAATGGGTGAAACCTCATTGGGCTGCAATTTGAAAAAAAATGTAGACCTATAAATTCCCACTGTCATCCATCCATCCATCCTTCTGTAATCTTGAGAATGGTGTTAGATAAATGAAATTTAAGACCATAGTTAGGGGCAGATGCCCTGATTAACTATACATGAACTTCTGATGCAAACTGGAAGTCACATTATTTCAATAAAAAAAATTTTCCTGAAAGGAGTTAGATAGATGACAGGCACAACTCCATTGCTAACAGAAAACTATGATGTACAGGGGCAAGACACTATAGTACTTATTTCAGTTGGAGAGCATATATTTGAAATTAAATAAATTAAAAATATGATTGTCACAATGCCAGGCTACAATTTTTAATGTCACAATAAATAATTGCTCATTACAAATATGGTCTTCTATATCCTGACAGACCTGAAGAATGAGCTTGTGCTCAGCTTTGCATTATAGACAATGCAGAAGACATCAGAATGTCTAGAAATGTAACTTGCAATCCAGAGCTAATGATGATGTTGCATGACATGATTGCTGAGGTGATCAGAGCTGAAGTTATGCTCATCCTTGACACTAAAAAGGGTTAGTTAATGGAAGATGATTAGTTATACCTGGCATGTTTAACAACACAATTAATATTGATTCTTACAGATTAACATCGTAGAACTATTCATAAGCTTCCTTGGATATCATTAACGCCAAGCGTATGACACTTCTTTTACAATTAAATGACTTCAAATTTATCATCATCCTGTCATTCACCATGACAATGTACAAAAGTCAAGGACAGACTCAGTAAAGTTAATATTTATTTACCAGAACCAATTTTCAGTCATGGTATGCTTTAAGCAGCCCTTTCTCAATCCAGATCATAAAAATTCTGTAGCAATAAAAATTTCACATCCAAATCTCAATGATTCGCATGCCTTGGAAGGATGGACTCAAAACAATGTAATTCAGGAAGTTCTGAAATAAATTTCAATTAAAATGGCAAATGGTATTTTTACAATTTAAAAAATAAAAAGAAACCAAGTTGTGTGAGCTTAACCGTGGGTACAACTCCGTTTAGGATTGTTCGTACCACTTAATCGGCACAGATTATCCGAAATCTGTTCTCTGGGTTTCGGATCAAGAGATCCGATCCTTATCAGGATTTTGACCGGGAGGGCAGTAATATTAGGTCTAAGGAGGATTGAAGATGGTAAAGTCTCTATCCGAATTTGTCAGGTTCCCGACGCCAGTTTATCAGTTATTTTACACGTGGATAAACACGCGTGGGGCAGTCTTATTCAGATAATAATTGAGAGACATTTCATTATAAATTGAGATAATAATTGAGAGACATTTTAAAATAAACAAGAGTAAATTTAATTAAACGTAAACAAATAATGGGAATACAAATATATGATAAGGAGACTACTACTACTACTAATTATAGTCTATAAGTCGTGCGAGATAGGGACTTATATCTAACCGATACACGATAGAGAGAGAGAGCTCACAAAATCATTTACAAACATACAACCTGATCATTGTCTTTACTCTTCGGCTCTGTATATGAAGTATTCGTTCACTCCTCGAATTCTCTGTCTTCTTTCCTCTGGAGGGATCAACTTAACTGGGTGTATTTCTAGACTCAATCCTTCGTATATTGTATGGCTCATAGTATAGGCATTGGCCTTTAAGAGCAAATATGTATGGAGTCCTGACTCTTCTATGTCTGTCGACGAACTCCCTGAATTCTGATAAATTCCCGCTATATCTGACGATCGGCGACCAATCATCATGCAAGATTCTTCTGTGGGAACTGACGAAAAGGGGAATATATGAGGGGTAAACATTTCCCATCAAAGTGAGGTTTTTCGCAGATAAGGGAAAAACAGAGGATGTACTAACTTCCCTCGAAGGAAGTAACATCTGTTAGCTATTTTTCCCACGTTAGAAAATGTTAATTTCTCACCAAAATGAAATAATATTTTATGACAATATTTAACATTATTAATAAAATTACTATTTTAGACCCAGGGGCCTTTCAGATCTCACAGTTGTCTTCAATTCCATCAGGAACAAAACAATCTTCCTTTGATGAGATGACCTTTTATTTAAGGTTATGTCTCTGCAAAATTATGTAAAACAGTTAAAATGTTCACTGAGGATATCATCAGTTAATTGTTTTATATAATTTTGCAGAGGCATAACCTTAAATAAAAGGTTGTCTCATCAAAGGAAGATTGTTTTGTTCCTGATGGTTGAACATGATGGAATTGAAGACAACTTGGTTTCTTCATATTTTTTAAATTCCAAAATGAATTTGAATGTTCGACTATTGTTAGGTCTAAGAGGTTTATTTGTGATTGGCATGAAGCGGGTTGCCACTATTGTCACCATTAATCCAAATCCTTGCCAGTTGAAGCTCTTGGTCAGTCTTCAGAATTGAAAACTTTTTATTAAAATCAATCAAAATATATACAAGTGTGTGAGGAGCATGACACATGCAGATGGGACAGTGGCGACATATAGTAGCGCGTATTACACGGGCACTAGCCAGCCAGGAAATTAACAATATTATGTGAGGAGGGTTTTTAGACAATCCCTCAAGTACGCGATTTCATGGGCACTTAGCCAGCCAGAAATGACGCGGATACATGGGCTCAAAGCCTGCTACATTATGATACAATAATTGAGATGAGGGTTGAAGACTTGGAAGAGATGAGTTACCGTTGCTGTGGTCGGTGACAGGTCGTATGTGTTTCATTTTGGTTGGGGTGTTGCAACCCTGGGACCCAGATGCAAAATTGAAAGAAGCCTCAGGGCACCAGGAACAGCAGACCCAAATCATTTATAGATGGACCCAGAAAACACTTACTTTTTACATTGAATGACAAATTTGAAATGAGCTCATTGATTGATTGATTGTATTGTAATTGAATAAAACCATCAATTTCAACAGATTCCTACTAGTAGGCTTTACATGTAAAGTAAATACTATATGGTTGAAAACAATTAGAACATTCCAAAGTGGCTTCATTTACAATATTTGTATTTGTTTAGCAAGAGGTTTTTTATTTTCTGTAACTTATTTTTCAGATTTATCAACTAAGTTTTAGAAGTAAATCAATTGAAGCCTTAAAAAAATTAATGTATGATTTATTAATTTTTTATTGACTAAAATTAGATGTTAAATTTTTTAATTCTGTAAAATTTAAGTAATTATATGTCTTATAGTGTAAATATTTTATATGTAGTATAAAGATATAAGAAGTTATTTTATAAAGTAAAACTTAACTCTGAAAATTATGTTAAAATATTATTGTTAATTGTCTACTTGGACATTTTTTATTAATAGGACTTAATACTGGTGTTTAAAGATTGACACAGCAATGAGAGTTAGTTCAGGAAAGAGCAAAATTTCTTTATTATATCACCTGTAGTAATAGTTTCTGTACACATATTACACGTGTTTTGGGCTAGCATGCCCCTCATCAGCAGTACTACTACCACACACTAAAAAGTAACAATAATAAACAAGATAAGTTATTGTATAAGTTAAAATTTTTTACATTGCCATAAAAATAATTTTAAAAACTTACTGTAAATACATATTCCAAACCCGAGTATAAATGTATTTTTCTCGTTGTATAATTAATTAATGAGTTAAACATTTCACTGTATAAATAAATTAAAATATAATAAATACAGGTTGTAAATTATNTTAAATGAAGAAAATAAAGTAACTGCAACTGCTCTAAATTCTGCTGAGTGCCAAGCACTTTTCATGTGGTGGGAGTTGAAGATGGATATGAATGGAAAGATTGTGTTAAACTGTGCTCCATATTGGGCTCATTCAAATCCATCAAACATGCAGGTTTGCAGTTTTGTAAGCTAATACTTTTTATTTTATTTTTAATAAGATGATAAAATATAATTTTTGATGATAAATTCATTTCTTTTAAAAGTGGAGAGATCATTGGATGCAAGCTGTTTATTATTTACCATCAATACTGGATATAAGAAAAAATGAAAAATTTATTCTTCATTCCTATCATGATGAATACAGCTTATGGTTTGATGCTTATAGGTATTTTATGTGCTCCATTATTGAAAAAATGTTAAAATATTGTTTGAACATTTTTTCATCATTATAGAAATTGTATCCATGAACATTTTTTATTTATACATGCTTCTACTGTATATATTAAAATGAAAATTATATATTTTACAGATAATGATTTACCAGAAAAAGCTAATATACTTGTCGCTGAAGTATTTGACACAGAATTAATTGGAGAAGGTGCTTTAGAAACATTTAGACATGCTTTGAAATATTTATTAGAGGTTAGTGGATTTAAATTAGCATTAATTATAGTAAAACTCTCATTTAATAAAATGGATACTACTTTAACAAAAATTTTCAATCTTTAATTCAGAAAGATGCAATTGTTGTGCCTTCATCAGCTGTTGTGTATGGTCAAGTTATACAATCTGATATGGTTCAAAAATGGAATCAGTTATCTCCTATTGTTTTGGATGAACAGACAACAATATTGCCACCATGTCATATTAAATCTTGCACAGGTGCTGCAGCTGTACATGATCTACAGCTCAATCAACTTTCTACTGAAGATTTTATTCCTATTACTGAACCTATGGAACTTTTCAGGTTTTTCTAATTTGTCTAGATATTTATTTAATAATTTTTTTTGCCAATTTACTAATATATACTATATTTTATAATGAATATAATATACAGTATTTCTAATCAATTAATTATTGTTTGAGGATTAACTTATATTTAATTAATCTTTTAATACTAAATATTATAAATATCACACTTAGTATTTTAATGGAGACCTTAATATTTATAAGCAAGATCATTATTCTTGCTGTATATCATTCCAAATGTAAAATATATTTTTCTAAAATTTTATATTTATTGCATTAATTTAATTTAATTTTTTAAATTTATTTTTATTTTATTTTTCTGTATTTCTACATAAAATATGTTGAGCTTTTCATATTGGATTTTATCTTTGGCAAAAATGCAAATTATAATTTTTATAATTTATAAGCGAGGTTGAGGCCGAAGAGGTTGAGACATTCAGTGCCGCTTTCCTGTAATCCTAGAAGTTTGACAATGGTGTTTGGAATGTAGAGCATGATTCCACTGACTATCCAAACACCATTGTCAAACTTCTAGGCTTACAGGAAAGCAGCGCTGAACGTTCGATGTACACATTTTCATGTTTAAAACTTTGGCCTCAATCTCGCTATTAACTGCAAGACAAACAGTTGAAACTAATGATGTTTATTTTGAAATATTACATACATTTTTAACCACTCTGCAGTGATTGATGGATATACCTGTCAAGGGTGATTGCGTGGCACTGGAGAATGATGTTTATATCTGCAAAGAATTTTTGGATGTCGCTGAAAATTAGCCAAAAACTACCATGAAAAAAAATTCACATAAAAACATAAAACCATCACATAAATTCACATAAGGAATTAAATAACAATAAAAAAGATTTTTCTTTTACTAAAACTAGACATAACTGTTTAAAAATTTTTTTTGAAATGGTAACGAGAAAAACACGTGGGAAAATTTTTAAAAAATTTCCCATGTTTATTCTCAACTACATCATGATAGCACCATATCCGACTAATTCACTGTACAAAGGTTAAAGACTTTTTATAGAGAAATGATGTAAACTTTACAAGAAATTTTATCAATTTTATTAGAAATTATTTTTAATGAATGTCATAAAAAATTTATTTAAAAAATTAAATTGATTTTCTTGTTTCGAAGCTTATTTTGTAGACCTTTTCATTAATTTGTAAAAAATATTTACTGACAATTTGAAATAATTTCGAAATTCATTACATATTTATATTTAGAGCCAATTCAGTGTTTCTACTTTGAGGTATTGGAAAAGTATTGATAAATATAGGAATAGGAAATTGAAAGTACTTTGTTTTATTAAATCTGTTTATATATGGCAACAATACCTAACTATAATAGTTCTCTTTTTGTTTTATTAATTTTGAATTAATTATTACAAAATTTATTAAGCAATTGTTGAAACTAATATTGCAAATACTATAGTAGAGGTAACAGAGACTTATCACGCTGCTACTGGTAACATTAAAATTACACTTCTATCATAAGAATGCAACTTTATTACTGGTATGCACTTTGGGACACAAGACTCTCATCAGCCGTACATAAAAATATATAGATATATACAACAAAAAATATTGTTTATATACAATTGAAATAACTCAAAAAGTTTAAGACTCTTGTAATGGAGTCTTAAACTTTGAGTTATAGCAGCAGGATAAGTCTGTTATCTCTTCTATAGTATTTGAGAGATTAGTTTCAACAATTTTTGAGACAAGATGCTCTTTTATAATATATTAAGCAAATTTATAAAACAGATCTCCATAATGGGTGCATTGCCTGTTAAAGCAAGTTTAATTCAGCTGGATAAGTACATGAATGACACGGCCCATTTTATTTTAAATGGATTGTCATTGGTTTGCTTATGTGCTCAATGATTTGGTATTATTCTGATTTATGTTTGCTTTATTTTTTTATTTGAAATTACATAATTTTAACATATAGTACAAATTATCTAGGTTTATGTTAAGTCAAAAGTATGTCAAATGTCAGAGTTAGTTTAGAGTTAATTCATCTGACAAATATTGAGTAAGTCTTTAATTTTCTAATACTAGTTTAAAATGTATTTGAAATTATTTAATTGATTAAACAGGTTTGATTTTACTGGTAAAGTGCCCCTAAAATTAAATGAAGAAAATAAAGTAACTGCAACTGCTCTAAATTCTGCTGAGTGCCAAGCACTTTTCATGTGGTGGGAGTTGAAGATGGATATGAATGGAAAGATTGTGTTAAACTGTGCTCCATATTGGGCTCATTCAAATCCATCAAACATGCAGGTTTGCAGTTTTGTAAGCTAATACTTTTTATTTTATTTTTAATAAGATGATAAAATATAATTTTTGATGATAAATTCATTTCTTTTAAAAGTGGAGAGATCATTGGATGCAAGCTGTTTATTATTTACCATCAATACTGGATATAAGAAAAAATGAAAAATTTATTCTTCATTCCTATCATGATGAATACAGCTTATGGTTTGATGCTTATAGGTATTTTATAAATATAAATTCAAAAAATAATTTATAAAGATATAATTTTTGTATGTATGAAAATTTAATAAAAAGTATTTGTTTTTATAGATTAGAAAAGAGTGAAAACTACACACTTATTTCAAGACCTGTTTGCACTTGTGGAGCTCATATTGCATTTAGTCGAACAAGACTGGCTATGCTGAATGACACATCTTTAAATCAATTATATACAAAAGCAATTAAAAAAGTAAAGTAATAATTCTTTAGATGATAAATGTTATATATGTTTTGTTATAACACCATATATTTTTAGGTGGTGAAAAGTGATTTAAATTGTCTTTGTGTAGGTGATGGCAGTTTATTGCCTTTAATGACAGCTTTATTAGGAGCAAAAAAGGTTTGTTTTGTTTTGTTTTTTTCTTATTGTTAATAATGACTATATTATACACAGCAGTTACGAATAATTTTTCAAAATTTTAATTATATTATTATACATATAAATACAAAAATTATTTGAGTAATTTGCTTTTTAGTCAGTTATTTAAATTGTATTTGAAAGTTTTGTTTTTACATTTTTTTACTTATATGTACAATACAATACTATTAAACTGATTGAGTATTTATTAAAGAAGCATTTCAGCTTTATTATAATCATCTTCAGCTTTACATAATACACAAAGAACAAAGTTATCTAGAAAATTAATTCTTAAGTAATAAAGCAAAAGAACATTTCTTTAATAAACATGGGATTGGTTGTCAATACAGTCTTGTATGAATACAGGATGTCTGTTTAACATGTCTCCAGAGGCAAAAGAGATCTTTCTAGCATTGCACAAGTGTAAGCATGTGGTGCATGCTTGTTACAGCACTAAAGTAACTTAAGCTTGAATATCTATTTAGGGACAAAAGATTAATTCATTATCATTATAGCATTTTTTGAAATGAATTAATCAGCAAAAGGGATAGGTGACAATTGCATGGTAAATCAAAAGCAATACTCGTATATATGAATTTTTCAAACATTACACCAAGATGCAAATCAAAAGCAATCTTGAATAATTATATTGCAACATGCAATGCCAATATCTCAACATGATACAGTCTGCTAGATTATAGAATAAGGCAACAACATCTTACACTCATGAGCAATACTGTGAAATGATAATTTTATGCTGGGAAACAAGCAAAGCAACATGTAAATTTCATGAGTGGTTTCAAACTACACCAATATATATTCAATACATATGATGATTTGCAGCTTGATTCAGACTAGTAATTTGTTAGGATCTGATTATGCTTGTCATAATGCTTGACCATTTACATCTTTGTATTGCCACTAAAATACTCTCTTTTCTGCAGTTGTTTAAAAACACTCTCTAATAAAATAAGGGCCACTTTTTGTATCATTATCTGCAATGTTGGTTTATTCTTTATAGTCAGAGATTATTTTTTTGTTATGCTAAATCATCCCTTTGGTTATTTAGTACTGGAACAAGCATGCATACACTCATGCTTCACTTGTACACCCAGGAAAGATCTCCTTTGCCCCTGGACAGATGTTTAAGTGAACATCCTGTATATACTTGTAGTTCATAATGGTGTCAAGTTGTTTGTTTTAATGGTTTTATTTTTTTGTTTATATTATAATTAGAAATGTATGTATGTTATACATGTTAATCAGTAATCTTGGATGATATTATCATCATGTAAAATATTTTTGGGTTGATTTAGGTATAATTTCTATTTTATTTGTGCCAATAGTGGCATCCATTTGTTAAACAGCATTGTCATATGTTAAAACAAAATTCTATTTATTTATTTATTTTAAAAGAATTTAGTCATATATATTCTAACTGGACTTAAAAAACCACTTTGAAACATTTTTTATACTTCAGAAGTTTATTATTTTTTATTATATTCTCTCTAATGTTTTTGAATGTCTTTAACATCCATCAGACAATCTTTACATGGAAACTCATAAGTTAAATTCCAAAATTTTTAAATGTAAAATCCAAACTGACAGTCACAAATTATAAAAATTCAAAAGTTTAGAACAAATTAATTTGAGTTTCCATGTAATGGTTGTCTGATGATGGATGTTAAAGACATCCAAAAACATTAGTGAGAAAAATAATAAGTTGGTGGTGTATAAAAACAGGAGTTTGAAGTTTTTTTTTTAATTTAGCTTTTTAATAAANTTGTATGTGGTGGTAGCCCCAAGTCTCCATTCGTGCATAGGGGTGGTTGCGTCTCGATAGCTATAAGGGTGTGGGAGATATGAGGCTGAAAGTGGTTGAAAATGGCTTTCTATTTCGAATGTTTTGTTCGAATTTGTTCGAATTAAACTCGAACATAAAATTCGAATTGGTTCGATTATAGAACGATTGAAAACATTCCAGAAACGTTGAAATTTGTTTGTTTGACTAAACATAAAAATTCTCTAATTAGTCTGGAAACGGGGGACCTAATTCTTGCATTCTATGAAAACTGGTAAGATTAGTTATAATGTAATTATCTTAATCTTCACTATTGTTACTTTTTGCCCAGCGAAGCGGGTCCTTGCAGCTAGATTCTAGATTACTTAGAAAAACAGTCTTTNATTATGCTTGTCATAATGCTTGACCATTTACATCTTTGTATTGCCACTAAAATACTCTCTTTTCTGCAGTTGTTTAAAAACACTCTCTAATAAAATAAGGGCCACTTTTTGTATCATTATCTGCAATGTTGGTTTATTCTTTATAGTCAGAGATTATTTTTTTGTTATGCTAAATCATCCCTTTGGTTATTTAGTACTGGAACAAGCATGCATACACTCATGCTTCACTTGTACACCCTGGAAAGATCTCCTTTGCCCCTGGACAGATGTTTAAGTGAACATCCTGTATATACTTGTAGTTCATAATGGTGTCAAGTTATGTTTGTTTTAATGGTTTTATTTTTTTGTTTATATTATAATTAGAAATGTATGTATGTTATACATGTTAATCAGTAATCTTGGATGATATTATTATCATGTAAAATATTTTTGGGTTGATTTAGGTATAATTTCTATTTTATTTGTGCCAATAGTGGCATCCATTTGTTAAACAGCATTGTCATATGTTAAAACAAAATTCTATTTATTTATTTATTTTAAAAGAATTTAGTCATATATATTCTAACTGGACTTAAAAAACCACTTTGAAACATTTTTTATACTTCAGAAGTTTATTATTTTTTATTATATTCTCTCTAATGTTTTTGAATGTCTTTAACATCCATCAGACAATCTTTACATGGAAACTCATAAGTTAAATTCCAAAATTTTTAAATGTAAAATCCAAACTGACAGTCACAAATTATAAAAATTCAAAAGTTTAGAACAAATTAATTTGAGTTTCCATGTAATGGTTGTCTGATGATGGATGTTAAAGACATCCAAAAACATTAGTGAGAAAAATAATAAGTTGGTGGTGTATAAAAACAGGAGTTTGAAGTTTTTTTTTTAATTTAGCTTTTTAATAAAATTTTTTAAAAATGTAAAATTTAAACCAGAAAATTAAAAAAATTAATTGATAGAGTTGAGATTTAATGATAACTCAATACTAATTTATTAAAAATCAAGAAAATCATGCCATTTTTGGTTTAAAATGTGTACTGAAATTTTTTATTCATTCATATATATAAAACAAATAAAAAGTACAAGAATTTGTACCAAAAACAATAGAACTGTCTATAATTATGTTATTGCATTGAATATTCAATGTTTCTGATAGTTTGAATTACTTTATTTTAAATTTTTTTGTCTGGAATTTTAAGAATGAAAAATTGATATAAATAACTAATGTTACACTGAAGGTAAATAACAGATGAAATTATTATTTTTATAATACAAATTCTTTCAACAATATGAAATGAAGTAGAATTTTTAAATATTACATTTATGTAATATGGAATACAAAACTGAAATATCATCAGAAAAATTATGTATATATAATGTTAGCAAACAAAGTTTCTCAATGAGTTCTGTAATACGCTTCTTGTCTAGTCTTGTATTCAATTTTACAAGCTCTATGACAGCTTTTCTTTTCCATTAGACTTATTACACCATCATTTAGAAACAAAACAATCTTTCGAAATAACTTGTGAATTGTCTCATCATGTTACGATTTTACTGTAAATAAGTTTATAATCTTATTGTTTTAATGGTGCACTTGTTTTTTACTTCATCATTCTATTTTTTTGTTTTAATGGTAAAAACATTTTCCAATGCCACAGTTTTAAATGTTATGGTTTTATCAGTGTACTTTTTTATGTATATTGTTTGTCTCTCACTGCTGCTACTACTACTTTATGTATCATACTGTCATATCTACTCAAACACCTGTAAATTAATGATCATCCGTATGCTATCAATTGTCACCATTTCTGTGCTTCTCATAACCATTTACATCAGAGTTGAAAAGGGACTCAAAGCCCGAAATGCATATGCTAGGAAATAAAAATGTGATTTTCTAAAGATTGTCCTGTTTCTAATTGATGATGTAATAAGTCTAACAGAAAAGAAAAGCTGTCATAGAGCTCATAAAATTGAAAGTTTTTCAAAAAAATTGTTAATGTTAGAATCATTAGAAAAATTATGTTTATATTATTATATTCTAAATTATAAATTAATAATACAGTAAATGTATAATGTATTGTACATACATGTATGAANAGCCCGAAATGCATATGCTAGGAAATAAAAATGTGATTTTCTAAAGATTGTCCTGTTTCTAATTGATGATGTAATAAGTCTAACAGAAAAGAAAAGCCGTCATAGAGCTCATAAAATTGAAAGTTTTTCAAAAAAATTGTTAATGTTAGAATCATTAGAAAAAGCAAGTTTAATTGATTGCATACATAAGTTTCTATGGATACATTGCGGTAATTAACCCGAAATGCATATGCTAGGAAATAAAAATGTGATTTTCTAAAGATTGTCCTGTTTCTAATTGATGATGTAATAAGTCTAACAGAAAAGAAAAGCCGTCATAGAGCTCATAAAATTGAAAGTTTTTCAAAAAAATTGTTAATGTTAGAATCATTAGAAAAATTATGTTTATATTATTATATTCTAAATTATAAATTAATAATACAGTAAATGTATAATGTATTGTACATACATGTATGAAAATGTGTAACCTATATGTAAGATAAATGTAGCACTTAAATTTAACTTCATTTGTATTTTATTGAAAAACATATAAGCAAATTTATTATTTTTACATAATTAAAATTTTAATATCCTTCATCTATATATTAAAATATTTGTAAATTTTTTGTATATTTATTATCCTTTTAAATTTATAAATAAAAATGCATTTTTGTTGCATTGTTTATATAAGTTCATTTATTAACATTAGCAAAGATGATTTGAAAAAAATAACAAAAAACTGCTTTTTTAATTGATTATTTATCTAGCAATTCTACAAAACTAGTCAGTTTACATTTTAATTAATGCAGCCAGTCTGTTATTGCAAAATTTAAAAATCACTCAAAAAAGAAATAAAGTCCATTTTAAAATTATTTGAATAGCCCACAATTTATTTAAAAGCTAAAATATAAATAACAAAATAATTATTTAGTTATGCTATGAATTTTCAAGCAGTATGATATTGAAATAGAATATATTCATTAATTCAATGGAGTAGAATTGACTCAAATGAAACATTGAATATAATTAATGATATTGTTAATTGCAATTGTATTTTATGTATCCTTTGGATTTATATAGGTTTATACTGTAGAAAACCAAGGCTTAATAGATAAAGTAATCAGATCTTACGTAGATGTAAATTCAGTTAATAATAAAGTTGTTGTCATAAAGAAAAATGCAATAGAATTAACAAGAGATGATGTTGAAGGAAATGAGGTAAGTTTTCTATCAAATTTTATTTATTTGTTTCTTTATATAAATATTTTGTCAGTTCTAATTGAATATTGTATAAAAATCTGATTGATTATTTTAATACAACAGATTGATATTCTGATGGGAGAACCATATTTTATTTCTTCAATATTACCTTGGGATAATTTACACTTCTGGTATGTTCGTTCAAGTTTAGAACCACTGTTGTCTTCTTCTGCAATTGTTCTTCCAGGCAAAGCAATGATTAAAGGTGTTGCTGTTCAGTTTCGAGATCTTCATAAAATTCGTGCTCCAGTTGAATCAGTTGAGGGATTTAATTTATCATCATTTGATAAATTAATACAGGTAATATCTCAAGTAATCAAGTTTTTGGTTTTTATTATCACATATTCAATTAAAATAGTGCTTCCTAAAATGGGCTTTGTGGAGCGCTAAGGCTCTGAAACTGAAGTTCTAGGGATTCACAAATCTTTTAAAACATTTTTAAAGTTAATGAATCAAATGCAGTTTGTTTTTTTTTATAACTATTTTTAAGCAAGCAATTATTTATTTGAGTTGGCAGTATATCTTAATACAGTAGTTGTGCTTTGGTTTTATCATGTATCATTCATCAACTGACATTTCAATGAATAATAAAAAATAAAACCTCGTTCTTTCTCTATCATTTGTACAAATTTATAGCAAAAGATGCTGATGAGTTAAGGATTCTGCAAAAAATTTTCCTCACTTAAGGGCCCTACTTTACTGAGAAGTTAGGGAAACACTGAATAAAAGATGATTTTGTGTACTTTATTTGACATGACAAATATCAAGAATTTAAATTATTTGAAGACTATAATTTAAACTATATGCACTGTATAATTTTATTTCAAAAACAAAATTTGGAATGAAATTGTATATGTAAAACTCCTGCTGTAAAAAATTCATGTAAAATTCATTGACACAACATATGTTTGTTTAATAAATCTTCATTATTCTCATAATTTAAATATATGCTATATCAACTTTCAGCATGATCTACTGTATATTCTAATTTATACTCTACTTAATTACAAATATATTCTATAATGTTTAATTTAAATTTTCACATTACTATTAAATTTTAAAAATAGTTCGATTACTACTAGATTAGTACGATTAGTACTAGATTACTTTATTTTATTTTAATAATTTTAAAGATAAATAATGATAAGGAAATATTGTAGTAATACAGATTATCCTACTTGGAGCTGTCCCTTTAAAATTGCAAATAACTTTTCACAATGTGCATGTAACAATATGAAATAAGGCTCAAAATGTTCACTATTTCATTTAGAATTGATTGCATGCCATAAAGAAGAGCAATGTTAGCCATAACTCTCATACCAGTATGGAAGAAATCCAGTCATTTTTTGAAATGGGTCAACTTGACTGGTTTGAGACCACTGCATTTAGTTGATTTCTTTCTATGGAAATATTTGAAAGCAGGGTTTATGCAGACAAACCCAGAACTATTGGACCTGAAAGAAAAACATCCAGCACGAATTGCTGCCATTAAGAATGACATGCTGCAGAGAACAATCACAACTAAGGAGTAACTTATTGCATTGTATGTGGAAATTTTCCTCACCTTTTGTAATGTGGATTTGTTTGATATTAAATAAAGTATGTTCAGCTTTTTACAGCTTGCCTTTACATTCAGTTACTTGTTTTTGGGTTATTTGCAATCTTGAAGGTCAATCCTGAGTGGGACACTGTATTTAAAATATTCTATTTAAATGCTTTATTTTATTCAAAACACCAATTTCTTAGTATTTTTAGTTTTAATATGTACAAATATTTTCCAGTTTAAGTGTCTTAATTGAAATATGACTATTTGAACTTATGGCCAATCTCACATAATATGTAATATAATATTTTAAATTTAATTATATAAAATGCAATGATTAATATGATGGATAATTAACAATTTTTAATTTTCCTAATATCACTTCTTATCTGGTTAATTTTTTCATGTATTAATTCACAACACTTGATTCAATGGTAATTCTATTTCCAGACTTATTATACCAAAGACAGGGTCTTTTAATATTCTTTTACATTATTAGCTTGCATTTCTCTAACATGCATTTCAGTCATAAGCCCCTCTTCAGTTCAAATTAAATTATAAAATTTCCTTCATTAACACAAATACAAGTGTTTATTAAAATTTTTAATCTAATTTAATTAAAATTATTTGCTTACAATTGTTGAGAGATAAATCTTAATTCTAAGTTCTTTATTTTTTATTCTTAACCACTATCAGTCACTGATACAGCATTACAACTATTCACTTCATTGTACATTCTATTATAATGCTCCCCATTGACAAATAATCATTACTTAAACTATCAATTTGTATTCCTGTATCGTTGTTTATTCTATTCTGATTTTTTAATTTTATTGCCATATGTTCATACAATTTTTATTTTTTTTTTAGTAGTTTTTACTGAATATTTTTCATAATTACAGTGAACTCATGTAAAACACAAATTTTTATAATACAACAAAAGAATATTCATACAAAATTCTAATTTTGTTGTTCAGAGGTATATTTTCTTCATCTTCTAGGCTTAGGTTTAAATTTGCATAAAATTGTCTAATGATGCATATCTTGATAATACAATTTTTTTATAATGCAGAATGTATCCCATGTTGTATAGGACTCCAATGTATTGTGATTACAATGTTTTGAAACTGCTGAATATTGATTTTTATATATTATAGAATTTATATGCTGTTTTTATCTTATTTTAAGATATTTACTTGTTTCACCTAATACATTTTTTGATTTAAACAACTACAATTATATTTATGCATGACATTTTTTTATGTTCCATGTCCCTTGTCATATTATTCAAACCTCTAACCAAATTTTTCTCCATTGTATTATATTGTTCTAGTATAAATATTATATTATATATAGGTTTTTAAATTTATTTTTTTAATTCTTTCAAAAATTTTTTTTTTATATTTCAGTTTGAAGTAAGATATGCTCAATTTTTTAAATTTATTTTTTACTTTTTTGTTCTATCATTCAACCATTTAAGTAATTCTTTATTATATCCAATACATAAAAATTTATTAAGAACTTTTTCTATTTCTTGTTGTTGTATTTCAGTTGTTCTATTTTCTATTTTATCAATATACATATTGAACACATTTCATAAATTGGGGATATTTGATTGATAATATGTAACTTTTTCTATATTCTCTGGTTTTTCATTATATTGTATCCACTTTTTTAATTACCTTCACATCAAAAAATTTAATTTACTTTGCTGTTCTAATTTTACACTAAATTTAATATCTTCATCTATGCTATTAACCAAATTTAATATTTCATTAACATTTAATTTTATTCATATCAAATACCAATAAACAATCATCCACATACCTAAAAGAAGGCTTTTATCCTGTTCATTTATTGTATCTAGTTATCTATGTTTTTCATTGATGCCAAAATGGGACTTAGAGTATACCAATAAAGTCGTATCTGTTTATAAAATTGATTATTAGATCAAAATGTTTAATAAATGTTTTTATTTTAGTGTTAATAAGGAAATTTTATAATTGTAATTCCAACTGAAGGGGGGCTTATGCATGCCTGACATGCATATTGGAGAAATTCAAGCTAATAATATAAAAGAATATTAAAAGAACCCTGTCCATGGTGTAATAAGTCTGGAGATAAAATTACTATTGAACGAAGTATAGTGAATTAATACATTAAAACATGTTTAATCTATTTTGCAATGAGCAATTATTTATTGTGACATTGCCACAGTCTGGGTTGCAATTTTTATAATCATCATTTAATTTTTAAAATAATCAAGTGACTTCCAGTCCAGATTGGAAGTTCATATATAGTTTCCATAGTTTGTAAGTGTTCCATATCTGGTCTTGATTTTCATCTAAGTTCGTTTCTTGAGAGTAATGAACGACAGACAGAGGACAATGGTAATGTATAGGTCTGCAATTTGAAAATTGCAGTCCAATGAATAACTGTTGATATGAGTATTCCTAAATATCTGATCAGAAGTTTCAATATTGACTTATAGTGATATGTTTGAAGTTGAAAATGATTGCGAATTGCAGTCTCTACTCTTTTCTAAATCAAAATTTGCCATAAGTTAAATTTTTAAAATTTCTATTTGTTATTTTTTTCAGATATTTTCATGCAATTAAATTATATCATTTGTTTCAATATATAAAAAAACAAATGCTTAATGTTGTTAAAGATTTTCTGAAATAGAAACTAATTTTCTTTGCTAGTAAAGATTATTTCACTTTAGAATTTTAAAATAAAATTCTAGTGATAAAACCCAATAAAATTTTCTGTACATAGCATATATATCCACTTATGGATAGATAGAGATATTGGAGATATGCATACATATCTTTATTTATGCTATAAAATAAATTACACAAATTATAACTGTGTTTTTTTTATTGGGCAGCAATTTGAAAAAATTGTAGACCCATAAATTCCTTGTTGTTCATCTGTCTAAGTTTAGGGAAGGAGGCTCCGATTAACTGTATATGAACTTCTGGTCTAGACTGGAATCATTTGAATCCAATTAAAAAATTTTTTCCTGAATGGAGTTACATACATGACTAGCATGATTCTGTTGTTATCAGGATCAAATTAGTAGCATTTTGTCTCCTGATATACAGGGGACAAGATGCTACTAATTTGAGATGGAGAATTTTAAATTAGATAAATTAAAAATATGATTGTCACAATGTCAGGCTCCAATTTTTAATGTCACAATAAATATTTGCTCATTTATATTCTTTTAAAAAAAGAATTGTAGTATTGAAAGTAGAAATGTTACTCAATTGCTAACATTTGCAATCGCATTCTGTTTTATTAGTATTAAGTAGTTATAAGTCTTCCTACTAACAGCCACTTGGCACTAACTTCTACACTTAGCTATTTGTGACTTTATTTAATTCAATTATTGGTGTTTGCTATACTTAGGTTTTATTTTAGACCCTTTGGGGGTACTATGGCCTTGCAGCTTAAAAACTGCACACCAACATCAAACACAGTACTGTAGCCATATGTATGCCGTTCAGAGGGATCCTACCTTTCTCTACTGTCTATCTCCTCTCCCTCTTCCCTCCCCTTACCCTCTTTTCTGCTGGCTAAACACCTTGTGTACAGCCAGTGTCTTTCTTGTGTGTACTTAACATTCAAATGCATAAAAAAAATTAAAAACTTAGTATTTTAATCTCAGAATAGTTTTTTTAAATTTAAAAATGATATTTAAATATCAACCTTTTATATTCTACTTAATTTATAAAATATGTAATAATATCTTCAATTATAATTTGTCTGTCTATTGAAAGATGTTATAATTGCATGATATTTTTTCAGTTGACATTAAGGAATAATGCTATAAAATTATTAAAAATTAATTTTCATAAAAAATTTAATATTCCAATCAAAAGAAGTTTAAAACTAAAATTTAATGATGAGAATTTTTTTTGTAGGAAGCAATAAATATTACTGACGATCCAGTAGAACCTCATCCGCTATGGGAATATCCCTGCACGGCTCTGTCACAAAGTTTTGAAATGATGATGTTTGATCTGACAATACCAATAGGAAATACCATATGTGAATCCATCGGTTGTATTAATTTACAGAGGTGAGAATACAAAGAAAATAATGAAGAATAACTTGTTATATTGCATTTAAATATATTAATTTTTAAATATAGATACAATATGATTTATGGGAAGTAAATTCAAAACAACATATTTCAAATTGAGACAAAATCTAAATGAAATTGAAAATTCTGAAATATTGAACATTTATAAAATAATCATATAAAGTTCTTCTGTATAATTGTAAATCAATGAAATAATTCAAATTACTGTATCAGAAAACATTTTTATTTCTAGATAAAAATGTTTACAAACATCAATAACTTGTTTACTAGTAAATTTTAATAAATTTGTAAATATTTTTTCCATAGATGAGTTGTATAAAATAGTGGTTGGCCACCTTTCTGAACTCACAATTTTGAATCCCGTGAACCACTGTCATGAATTTTTTAAAGAATGATACAAACATCTATAAAATAATGATCATATTAATAAAGTAAAATGGAACTTATAATTAAACAAGTGAATTTCATAAAACAAATTAGTGGGAAGTTTATTGCTGCTTCTTTGAAATAGATTTATGGATTCTTGGCTCTTTTCCTCAAAGGACAATTGCACTCACATTATTATTGATTATTTATTGATATATTGGCATTATTTATCAATAAACATTGTGTGTTTGTGATTAGAATAAAAACCCCCCAATGAGTGAAGAAAAGCAACCAAGCAGTTTGTACTTCTTTTGTAATACTTCACACGATCTTGAGTTGATCACTGTCCAAATTTCTCCATAGACCACCAGTTGGCAATTGCTGGTATACTTTGATATTAATCTTACTGATTATCTGTTGTCATTATTTTATTTAATAGAAACTTTCAAATATTTTTTCTTCATAATTTAAAACATTTGTGGTGCACTGCATTTTTGATTTAAATATGTAAACTTCTATTTTATGAGAGAACTCAAAATTTAAATTAATTGCTCTAGTTTCAGATTATAAAAATCCAGCTGTTTGATATTTTTATCTGTCAAGGCTAAGTAATTTGTCTAGTAATGGATGGTTAAGTCTCTATTTATATGTTAAATTTAATAATTATTCCAAATTAAATTTTTTCCATTCTGGAAGTAAAAATCAGCCTTCAGTGGGACTCAAGCCTGCAACTCTTGCTTACCATGTGGATGCATTACCAATCTGGAAGTGAAGATTGAATGTAAGTCTAGACAGCTGTCTAGACTTACATTCAATCTTCACTTCCAGACCAATTTAGATATATGGGTAACTCATGCTTGTAAAAACCCATGGCTCTCAGCTGACATATATATATATATGTCAGCTGAGAGCCATGGGTTTTACAAGCATGAGTTACCCATATATCTAAATTGGTATATATATATATACCAATTTTATGAGTTACCATATATCTAAATTGGTATATATATATATATATGTCATGGTGGGATAAAAGCATATTTGTATGAAATTATTAACAATTGCTTGATCACAGAAAAGATATTGTTGGCCATCATTTATTAGACATAGCAAAGAATTAAAACATTCTTCACAAAGCTCAGTTTTATCCAGAGTTATTATCACTATTTGAAAATATCTATAACATCCACATTTGTTGTTACAACAAATGTGAATATTATAAATACAACAGACTTCAATGATAGGAAAACAGACAAATCTGTAGGTGAAGAATGTAATAAGACTAGGAGAATAAATCTCCAGTTTGCCATCTTAGTCAAAAAAACAGAAATCTACTTTTATCAGTAGCTGATATTTTGTTATAAGCTTAGATTTATACTGTAGTTTGTCTTTGAATTTTATGTACTAAGAGAAGATAAATGACATTTTTATAATTAGAAAAATTTTTTTTAAATATGATTGACAATAAAATAATAATCTTGTTTAATATATTTTTAGTGCTGGTACATGTAATGGTATTGCTATGTGGATGGAGTATCAAATGGATAGTGATTCCACAATTTCTAATGGACCATTAGAAGTAAAATTGGGTGAAGAAATAAAATGGAGTAAGACTACCAGGCAAGGTGTCCACTTCCTTAAGAAACCAATTCATGTTCAGCGAGATCAAAAACGTCACATGAAATATTCAATAGTCTTTAATCCATCAGTGGGTCATCTGTCATTTAGCTTTGATGCCGTGCACAAATAGATTTGCTCCATTTGGCAAAGTCAAATCTCACAAAAATGTCTTCAAGGTTAATAATGGCTTGATTACCATCAAGCTATCATTTTAAGAAAGAAAATACATTTTCTTTCTTAAAAACTATGTTAAAAAGAAATACTCAATTGTATGTTTAAACTTAAACATGAATGTTCATTGTATATAATCATGTATTTATAAATATGCAAATTCATCTGTCATATCCTATGCTTCTAAATGGTCTTTCAAGAAGACATCAGCATAATGAAGTTTCTGATTTTATTTAGTTCAGATCCAAGTAATGCTGAGATGGATAAAAGTGTTTTTCTTTATATAGAATTTTCTAATTTGGGATATTGGTTGTTATTGATTATAAATATTAAATCATAAAAAACTGGATGTATCTTATTTTATACAAGTACATGATATACTGATCAATATCAAAAGTTTATTTTAATCATCCTGTAAATTCATGGACGAAAGGTTTTTAAAATAACTTTTATTTATCTATCAAAATGATTGTCAACTGAAAAATAAACTTGATATATAAAATGTAAAAGATATAAACATTTATTTTTTTTTTTGTTCTTTTACAAATTCTATAAAAATGAAAATGGTCCTTTCCCAACTACATAAATTAATTTTCTTTTTGATTAGTTTAGTTTTACAGTTTCACCACACATAACATCCAATATATGGACAACGTTTGTTCTGGTGAAGTTTTGTAAATGTATATAAACGTATACATCTAAGAAGTACTTTGTTTAGGAATTCCTGCATCATCTAAAAGATGAGCAGATGATATCTCTATGAGTTCTGGTCCTGTGCCAACCTAAAAACAATTGATCATTCAGTACTCATTTATAAAAAAAAGAATCAGTCAAAATAATAATTTTTACCTGTGTGTGAATCACATACTGCAAACCTCTATGAATAGGAGAAATCTGCATAGAATTGATAAGAGTCTGGAAAGAAATAATATTTTATAGATAATTATTCCATCTGACTAAAACAAAATATATAATACATTTTATTTTATCAAAAACGTTACAATACATTGAGATTCAAAAATAATTTTGTAATGTGTACACTGTAGACTTTCTAGCTAGAGAGTTGCAGTGTGACTAGAACTATGACAACGACAGAGCTACAAGTCCAGATCAGTGCTCTACCTATTTCTTCAAATAGATATTTTAATACATACACTCAATGAGTGAAGGCAAACATCCCAAGTGGAACAGAAAGCATATTAATATTCTAGCTTCAGCAATATGGAATGTTTCATTGAAAAGAGTACCATGAGAGAGACAAAAAAATGCTTAAACATTTCTAAAACAATTAACTCAACACCATAAGTTGGGTAAGAATGTTAAAAGGGAGGAAGCAGTGATGTTTCATGGACAATTTCTTAATTTTTTTCTTTTGATTCATTAATACAATAGTAGATGCAGCAATCAGTTGTCTTGTTTGCAACATGTTCAAATTAATTCTACAATGCTCTAGACCAGTGATGGCAAACTGTCACCCAAGTGACAATTTCAAGGCACCTACATTGAATGCTTAGATTTCAAAACTAAGTTAGAAATTACATGTGTTTTTTTATATCATATATAGTGTGAAAGTAGTATCCTAAAGCTGCCATGAAAAGTCTTAAAGGTTACTAATTGGGAATCTCAGATGATAAACTTATCATTGAATAAACAGATTTTCCATTTGATTAAAATTTGTTAATTTTAATCACATCATTATGTATTTAAAGATGAAGTATTTGTTTGAGTTTATTGTTATCTACATGAAAAAATTTTTTTTCAATTTGACCTGAGATTTATTAACTCCAAATATGTCCTCAGAAAAAATTTTTCTACTACTGCTTTAGACAGTTCTCTACATCAAAAATACATTTCACTGTATACAAACAATAGCTAAGCCTCATTATAGTTACTCTAGCACCACTCTAGCAAGAACAAATTGATTGTGTGTATTTCAGTATGAAATACATTATGACTAGTCTCACTAGAGAATAGAAAATCTATAATTAAGTACAATTTTCTCTACAGTTTATGCATAGATTAATAGCATGAGGATACTTCATTATTTGTTAAAGTTGTTAAAACACCAGGTTTTATTATGAACTGATGATTATTTTTGTAAAATTTTACTATTTGGATTACTTTTAATGGAACGTAATGTTGATTATTAAATTAAGATTATCATTAAACTATTTCATACTGAAATACAATTATCTGTATACATTGTAATTGAAAACATTTTAATACAAAAGTTGCACAATTTTTGAAATCTAGAATAAAAGTTTGAAATATTTTGCTATTAAAAAAATTTTAAATGATAGTAAATGTTTTTTTTTGTTCCTTTTACTAGATCTTTCAGTCACTATGTTTTAATTGAAGAACAGAAGAATTCCAAAACTGATGTAAAAAAAATTATATTTTTCTGCTTGGAATCACAAAAAAATAATAATGTTTTGATAGTTTCAGCTTTAGGGCCCACCAGTTGCAAAATGGTACCGGTCCCTGAACATTGGGAATTCGGTCATGTTTTGCACCTCACCAGTTTTTTTCCACATCTGTAATGCCCAAATAGAGGCCACTTACCCTTAAAAAGACCTCCCGAAAGGCATTCTCCCTAGGCAGATCGCCCAAGTGTTGTGTTGTGTTGTGTTGCCATAACTTAACTAAACAAACAAGTTTCAGCATTAGAATTTACAATTCACTCAAGCTTAAAACATCATACTTTTATTTAATGATATACACTATAACATAGAGAATACAACACACACAAAAACTATATGCCAAATTCAACATGCTTGTGAGATTTCTCTGGTTATTCAAAATATTCAGTTATAACTGATCAAATTATCTTTATTTTTCCTTTATAGAATGGGAGCATGACATATGCGTTTTGGATCAAAGTTTTAATTTATCCGAAACGCATATGTCACGCTCCCATTCTGTAAAGGAAAAATAAAGATAATTTGATCAGTTATAACTGGATTTTTTGTATATTATAACATTTAATAACCAGAGAAACTTCACAAGCACATTGAATTTGGCTTATAGAGAATATAACACATTGAACTTCTATTTGCCTAGAAAAACTATTGATATTATGTTTCCCCAAAGATTGAATTTTATTAACAAAACAGTCAATAAAGAATTTACTAATTAAAATCTGAACAGTTTTTATCCTTCAATATCTGTTTAGTCTCTGGCATATGTTTGATAGTTGCCAACATTCTTTCATTTTTTAAATTTTACAAAATTTTTAGTGTTTAGCTATCTTCAATATATCTAAGCAATAAAGTTGGCATTTCATACTGGAATGGATATAAACAAATGATTAGGTCTAACAAATTGACAAATACTGTAACATTGAGTCTGTTCTAATAAGACTTCATTTTATTTACAAAAAATTTTACAATTCAGTGAAATTTTAAAATTAAAAAGTTTTGTAATAATTCGTCGCCAGAGGGAAGGGTTAAGGATAATCTACATTTGACGGTGCAATTTTCCAAGTGGATATAAGGATCTGAAACTCCCGAACAGAAAAGGATGGAAAACTCAAGATGTCGTAAGATCATCAATTCCAATTTTTAAAAAAATTTTATACAGTAGAGCCTCGCAAACTCGGCCTAATGTGGACCAAAGGGTGGCCGAGTTTGTGAAAATGCCGGGTTATCGGGAATAGGGTTAAAAAAAAATAAGTATGAGTGTTTCCTCAGAAAATACTGTACTGTACTTGTATGTATTGTTTACTTGAGAATACAACAGAGAATAAACTGTCCAAATACCCTTAAACAAAGGAAAAGTACGTCCTTTATGAAGGCATAGAGCCTTTACTACATGAAAATGAAAATTAATGAATACACTGTGTACAGTAATTTACCTGATGAGACAGACCTCAGAAAAATACTTTATGAAGCATAAAGCTGTCTTTATCATGAAAATTAATTAACAGGATTTTTTTGTCCTGCCAAGGTGTGGCCGAGTTTTCGAGGCTCTACTGTATTTTTAATTGGATAATTTCTATATCTTAAGGATTAGTTTTCCTAGGTGGCCATGTAGCCTATAAAGAAAGATCGGGTCATCTGAAGTTTTATTCTAGAACAAATAAATGGTGGTTGACAAAAAGATTTTTGAAAGTAATTGTCTTTTTATTTACAAAAAAATTTACAATCCAGTGAAATTTTAAAATTAAGTTTTTAAATTTATTATCTGAGCTTTATAAAAACACAAGGCAAATAAGTGATAGTTTAGCTTGTGTTAAATGCATTGTCTTTCCATGACAAAGGAAGAGATCTCCTAGTAATACTGTTTTTTCTTAAGAACACCATAGGAAATATAAATTTTCATATTCATAATCTAAAGTTTAAAATAAAAATTACCAATTTCGTGTAACTGAACATGTAAGATTTTAATGCCCATTTTTAAAAATTCTTCATTAATACCAGAGCCATCATTTTGACCATTATTTCTTTGTGCTGCAATTTTTACAAATGTTTTTGTCTTTTTGTAGAATATATCTGCTTTAAAATTGCATGATCAATTTTGACTGGCTGCTGCTAATATTTTAGTAAAAGGGTGAAAGTTGATTTCCTTTACAGATAAAAACAAAAAAATATTCTGATATTGAAAAGATTGAAAGATACTACATTTTGAGAAAAATTCAAGGAATTCTAAAGCATGTTCTTCATCAAAAATAAAATGAAATTTCAGAAAAGCTTGGAAAAAGTATTGAAAAATTCATCACTTGGAAACTGAATATGATAATAAATAATCAGTTTGATATTCTCTTCTAAATCAGAAGAATATTTACCAAAAAGAAAATTTAACAGAATTAGAAAGTGGAATAATTATCAAAACTCTTGTGACAAAAATACTTTGTTGCATATACTTCTGCTACTAACTCAGTTTCATATCTTTTGACTTTGGAATTATTAGAAATTTGGTGGAATTATATCTGAAAATTCTTTAAAAAAATATGTAACAACATTTCTTTTGTTAGGCCATAAGTAACTGATTATTTTTTGAGTCTTCTTTCAATGTCTTGGAATAAATTTTGGGAGATCTTGAAATACACAAGGAAATAAAAAAGTGGCTTTACAAAGTCCAACTTAAGTGTAACTCCAATATAGTTAGTAACAACCCAAATTGGGATGCCCATTTGAAAAAATTGTAGACCTATAAATTCCCACTGTCTGTTGCCTATCTGCCTGCCTGCCTGCCTGTCTGTCTTTCCTTGGCTCTCATCTAACTCTATTTGTAACTAAGCTTTCCATATCTGGTCATTAAGACCAGATATGGAAAGCTTAGGGGGCAGGAGACCTCAATTAATTATATATGAACTACCAATGCAAATCGGAAGTCATGTTATTTCAATTCAAAAATTTTCCCTTGAAAGGAGTTAGATAGATGACTGGCAAGACTCTATTGCTAACAGAAAAGTATGGTATACAGAGGCAAGACACTACTAATTTAAGGAGGAAAGCATATATTTTAAATTAAATTAATTAAAAACATATGATTAAAAATTGCAACCTGGCATTTTGATGATGTAACAATAAATAATTGCTCGTTATCAATTTAAATTATTAGAATGACAGTATAGGACAGTTGTGACATGTTATTTGGAAATGCTAAGATTAAAAAAATAGTCTTGTTAAGAAATCTGAGCAATTATTTGATATTTGTGGACCAAAAAAATTCACCTGCTAAAATCCACTATCAGTTAGTTTGTCAAGGTGTATGTGGACAATGTCATGTCTCTTTAAGCTGGTGCAGAATAGTGCTAGATATTTGTTCATGGATGAAAAATATGAGTGCTGAAAACCACAATATCATCCAAGATGCTCAACAATGAAAGTCGATACTGTAAGGATTGATAAACTGATCCAGGATTATAGGTAATTTTGGCACAATGTGATGTACCTTTCAGCTGGGTCTAGTACATAGAACCATAAAGATTATTATGCTTGATAACTTACAGTATTGTAAGGACTTTTCAGTTTACTCTTTCAGTCCTGTGAGGACCAAGATGCCTTTTTTTCATCATCATTGCCTTGACCAACAATGAATGGACAAAATAGTGAGGGATGAGCTCAACATAGCTATGACAGACAACCCTTAAAAATTTCATACAGTTGCTCACCTGGATTTGACCCAATCGCCAGAATGGTAGGCTGACATATGAAAATTATTATGCAAGTAATTATGATTACAAATAAAATTATATAGATTATATTATCCAAAACAATATTTTTAAAACTTTAAATCAAGGACCTATTGCAGACTTACAGTATATAAAAATACTAATTGGGGAAGAAGTGTCTACTATTGCCAAAAGTCCATTAAATGGAATGTGTTTTAAAAGCATGTATCATATCAAACTTCTATTATTTTAATATGTCTTGTACATTGTAATGTTCAGTACATTGGATCAGTGACTCAATAAGTACAAACTAATGAATCCTTTAGTGTGCTTTATCTATAAATAGAAAAAAGGCAAGAAAGTTTTCCTTTAGGGCAAATATTTTTTCCATTAAATTGAGAGTCTATTGTATTACCATTATACAGAGAATAAGATTATTTTATCATACAGCTTGAATGTTAAATTAAGCCAAATACTTATTTATGTGTACTTGATGTAATAAATTTTTTCCTTCACTAATTTCCTTTCTTTCAAGAATATTAAAACCCTGCAGATGTCAAGAACTTGCTCCATCATTCCTAATTCCATCATTGTAGATCTCAAGAAATTAGAAACAAATAGTTATTTGTTTCTAATTTAAGGCACAAATGAAATCAAAATATCGAATCCAAATAAAAAATTTTAATGTGTTTCCATTCTGATCTGACTAAATTAATATACAATTACAGTTTTTGTGAGTATTACATAAAAATATTGATGCTTAATATATTTTAATTTTAAGTTATTAAAGCAGAAAACATACCTCTGATAAATGTTCTAAAGGCATAACTGGAAGACCAATGAAAAACTTTGAGTTATCAACATTTGATGGAAAGAAATGTTTTATGAGAGCTGCAACATCAGAAACATTCTGTTCCAACATGAAGAGACAGGCATTTGGCCCAGCATCAAAAGTATAGGCAATCTAAGAATTATTATGAAATATGATTAAATTTTTTCCTTTTTAAATGATTAATATAATTAATTAATTAATGCTGAACCTTATTAACTCCATAAAAGGCATTGTAACTGTGAACCAGATCCATGATTGCCAATGATACAGCATTCACATAACGTAATGGAGGATATGTGTCCATACAGATAGCATGAAACTGATTGCTATCCTGCAATTAAATGTATAACTATTTTAAACATGATTATAATTCATTGTGTTATACTATTAAATTTTTGATTTTATAATAATAATTTTATTGATAATTTTTAAACTTACTTTCATTGTGATTTCTGCAAATTTTTGGAAATTTTTTTCCAAGATTGCATTAGTGATTTCTTTTATTCTATGAGGAACAATGTGAGCTGCTCTATATTTGAGTAAATCACTTGTTATAACACTTGAGCCCATTCCTTGAGTACTACTAGTATGTTTTTTCTGATCATTTACCTTTAAATAAAATAAAATAAATTTTATTAAAATATTCAATTTTACATTTATTTTAATATTTCTTGGTTACTTTATTTTAAAAACATTTTTTTTGCTTCACCATATTGTTTTTTTAAAACTTCAAAGTACATATGATCTTATATAAGTTATATCGTGAAATTATTACAGTACTTAAACATTCTATTTATTCTAAAGACATCCTAAAGGTGTTACACAAAACACCTTTATAATGAAACTTTTATTTCATTGTATTTCATAATGCAACATGTAATGCTCAAAGACAATCTAAATGAATATTTTATCATAAAATCACATTGTATTTAAAACAGAACAATAAATTGTATAAAATAAATGTGTTCTTACTTTAAATGGCCTGTCTTAAATTTAACCTTAATATNTAATAATATACTAAAAAAAAATTGAATTTTATATTAAATTACGTAAGCATACCTGGCAATTTCAGACAAATCAGCTTCTACTTTGAATAATTTTCCAAGTGCATAAACTAAAAGAAAATATTACACATTTTTAAAATGTCTAAAAGTAAAATTGCAAATGTTAAATAATTTTTTTTTTTTTAACTTTTAATGACTATTGAGTAGCAATTTATTATTGAGAGAGAGAAAAAACTGACAATATAAGAAATAATTATATAATTCCATATGTTGTTAATAACGCTATAATACATATATTATAAGGTTATTTCTATATATGTCATTTATAATTTTATCAAAATCTGCAATAACTGTTCTAAACACATGTTTCTGTCTATCAATATTACATGATATGAATAGCATCTATTAATAACATGAATATATAAATTTCAAAAGAATTTACTTTATATTATTGATCAAAAGAATAATGATGTAAACTACAATTTATTTGTTAGAGTTTAATTTTTTTTATTAAAAGATTAGTAATATAATTAAATATTTTACACTGATAAAAGAGATGCTTAATTTATTAGAAGTAATAGAAATTATCAATGATTTTAGTATTTAATAGTTTGTTGGAATTTTATGTGAAAAATATTTCTTTTATAAATACCAAAATTACTAATTATAAATGAATAAGAACAACTCAGATACATAAATTCAGATACATAAGCAAATTATTACTAGTTATGCCTTGATATCGATCTGGCACAGTACTAGATACCATTAGGTACTGTCAACCTAGTATGACATAACTCACAAAAGTAATAGAAGACCCTCATATAATGCAGTAAATATGTTTCATGTTATGTGAATCTATGAGTCCCATGGGTTTATATGTGGATTATGTGAAACTGTTTATAAAAGACAAAGGTTTATTATTTATTTTAAAACATATTGTAAGTTTAAAGATATAAAATTATCTTTTATTTCATTTGAAAACAAAAATTAAAAGTATTAAAAATATATCTGGACAATAAATTCATTTAAAATTCACATGCAGAAGAAATACAAGTCTTCAAAATTGTCCTTCTAACATCACAGGAACAATGTTACATGGCATTCTCTGCCATATAACATTATCATTCCTGTGGTGTTAGAAGGTCCAATTTATTTTTAATAATTGAGAAGCATATTCCATATGGATGCAAGTGCATATGGAAATAAAAAAACTATAGTGGAAAGAATATACATCTGTTTGTAGACAAATTTGAATTAGATGCTATTTTTCCTATTGTATTATGGGCCTATTTGACACAAACTTATAAACAATAGAGCTTGCAATGAGTAATATTAAGGCATTAGTTCCAATATAAGAAATTTGGCACTTATATCCATTTGGAAATAAGCTCTGCAATTATAATTTTAAGTTGTACCACCACCAGAGGATTTTTAAAAATTTTTGCATATTGAGGTGGAGATTGAGATTAAAATCCAGCAACTGGTTGCTGGATTTTTTTCACTGAATTTCAACCTATCCAAAATTTTAATTATTTTCTTCCTGTGATATAAATTTTCTGCTCAACTTTGATTCTTTCTTGATTTCAGTAGTCATGGCTAAGTAAAAAATGTTTTGTAATATAGAAATACTTTAACTGTTCCTAGAATCCTATTGAAAAAGGACATGTCCTGGTTGCTTAGATGGTTAAACTACTTGGTTTGCTTCAGAGGGAACTTCTGTAGTATACTATCTTTATTCCAGTCCAGTCTGTTTATTTCTTAAACAGACATATATAAATGGATACAAAATTTAGACTATATCATTTTAGATGTTATTTATTATTGAATATTGTACATATATAGATAAATTAAAGCCATCAATAAATTCCAAGCCATGCTTGAAATTTTCAGATATTTTTGATGAATAGAAATTTCTAATGAATAACCTTAATTACAAGTTAAATCTAGTCTTCATTCTATAATTTTTCTTTAAAACTTTTCTATTATTTTGTAAGTAATCCATACCTAAACATGCATAACCAGCTGCAGATGAAGCTAAACCTGCAGCTGTTGGGAAATTATTACATGAACAAATGTGCACATGAAAATTAAGATGATGGTCATCTTTTGAATCATCATCATAAGTTTTTCTTTTTCGTGCTCTTCTTCTTACTAAAATAAATTAATAAAATTATTATTATTTATTAATTCAAATATGAATAATTAAATATGTTGAATTATTTTGAAAAATTCAGTAATGATTTTGAAAATTTCATTTTGTTATTTCTTACTTTCTCTCAGGCAATTTTGCAATCTTGGATTTTCCATATCTTGTTCTCTATGAAATTATAATAAAATCCACAATAATTTTCACAATAAAATAAAAATTTTAATTTGACAATAATTTAAATTTTAAAAATTAACCAAAATCATTTTATAATAAAAAAATAAAAATAACTTTTCTAGCATTTAAAAGTAGTGTCTATTTTTATTATTTTTAAGTTAATTTCTCAAAACTGATTTTTTAAAGCAATCTTAGCAACATTTAATAGTATAATTAAAAATAAAGATATTTCTATCCCTAATATAAAATTTATTATAGGAAAAAAAAACAATGGAAAAATAAAATTTGATAATAATAAATAAATATTTTGTAAATATTTTAAAAAACTATTTTCTGAATCTAAAATTATAGTACCGTTTCTACTAAGAAACTGGAAATTGTCAATGTTTAGNGGTAAGTAAAACTCCTTGTTAATTTTAAAATTTATCATTTATTTATATTTTTTCTTTAATCCTTTACAATTTTAAGCATTTAATTGTTCCTTCCTCTCTTCCTTGGCATGTTGTGAGATTTCTGATAGTTGGATAATAAACCATTTTATTCTAATTCGTCTTTTTAAATTATTTTGAGTTGATATTCAAATTTGGAAAGGGGGATCCCTAGATCAGTAAAATAGGCGAATTTCCTTCTACAACTTTGGTTGTTGTTCAAGATACAGTTAAGGTTTTAACAAATTTCGAGCTAATACATAATTAGCAAAAAAAGGTTGAAATAAAGTGAACAAACAAAAATTATTACAAATGTCGTAAGTAACAGTTCACAAATGCATATATAGAGATATTTTTGGAGGGGGGAAATGGTGGTATTCACATTTATAAAGAATATTAGTATGTAATTGTAAGAAAATAAACCATTAGTTTCCAGTAAGAAGTTCATAAAATAAAGTTTTAAGTATATCAATTAGTTTTAAATAAAATATAATGCTCATATTTAAATTATCATTATATAAAGATTTCAAAATCTGATTTCGTTTTCTAATTTAAGCTAATTAGCATACACAGACTCATACAAAAGTCTGTAAACATTTGAAAACTAATTGATTAAAGAGTGGAAGATAAGGATGATAAATTTTCAAAAGCATTTTGTGTAAAGTAAATGTCAGCTCCTATTAATTAATTCAAATTTGTTGTTAATCTTTATTGTGTAATATAATTATTTAATCTTATTACTTTTTTAAACCCTTTTTTTAAATTTCAATGCATATTGTATATCTTCTTTCACATTTTAGTTATAATGCTATGCATTTTTATAATTTAACTAGATCATTAGGGTAATGCTTAAATTAGGGAAAAAATAAATTGTTTATTTTTTTTGTGGTCCTACCCTCCAGAAATATTCCAACTGATCTCAAATTACTACAGAAGAAATTTGAACTTGATATATTAATATTTAGAGGTAGCTCAACAGCCACAAAGTTTATAAAGAGCGATTTACGACAAATGAAAGCATGCAAGACTGTTTTGATAAACCAAACTTGTTTCACTTTTTTTGACAATTACAAACAAATTAAGTAGGCATGTAGACGCTACAATATTCAAAAACTTGATGGAAGAAACATTTGATCAAAGAAAAATTTTTAAACGTCACAAATTACAAAATTTGAAATTTTCAGTACAACGTTCAATGAAACTTCATCAATTTATTTTGGTACAGGCAGAGTGTCTCTCTTTCTTGCTGTCTGGATAAGCCTGATGGTGCTGTTGAACAACTTGCAGCAAATACTGAAGTTGTAATTCATTATGAGTCATTAGGCCACTGAATTCCTGGATGAATGCAACCATGCATTCTACATGGTCGTTAACAACTTTAATGGCATGTAATGACTCTGCAGCCTTCTGGTAGTCCTCTCTATCTTTCCACAGGTCAGTATCTACTGTGAGAAATGTATCTGGAAGTTCCATTAATTCAAACAGAATCCGTGATATAAAGTCCTCAAGATTTTTTCTCTGAATGTGTCCAAGTCAACACTGATTCACTTAGTGTGGCTCTGTTCAGTGTCATCATCATTTTGCATTGCAGTAATCATTAGCCTGTTTGTAGCAGAACTTACATTGTTGTCGAAAAAAGCTAAAACAACCAAATCTGGCAACAAATACCATAAATATTTAGAAATTTGAGAGATGCTGCCTTGGATATTGTCGTGTTGATTGTCAAGTATTCAAGAAGTGATTTCAGAAGATGAAGGGCATTGTTTGCAGCACTGGCTGCCAATGGAGCTGAAATCTAGGCTTTCAAGTACACACGTGCAGCAAAGACACACACATCCTGTAGTCTCTTCTCTTCTTTTTTTGTTAAATGGAACTTACTCCTAAACATCCACACCTTCAAACTGTAAATTACATTTGAGAGCCAGCATGCATGATGCATGACTCCAGGTGCCATAAATCACACCCCTCTCTGTGGGATTAAACCAAGAAAGATAATAACAAGTTCAGTGAATTCTCTGTAGTCATCTATTGGCTGACTGTTTTCCAGATGGTGTTGTTGAGTATGCAAACAGCTATCTTTAATGTCTTTGCAGTGATCTTGATACTGTGTTGTTTGTAAACCCTGTTTCATATTTCTATTGATCAATTAACTGCCAAAGATGTTGAAATCGCTTAAAGAGTGGAACTTCCGGTGATGATGTGGATCCCAGACAGACTTCAAACACTGCACCAATAATCAGTTCCATTACATGATGCCTGCATGCTAGTGATAGCAGCTCCTTGCCAAGCTTCTGTTCTAGGAGGGCACAGGTGCCAGCAATCAGCCAGTGTTGAAAATTGTTTTATCAAAAGATATTGCTTGAACTCTATCAACAATGCCCTATTCCTCTAGAGCCATGTAGACAGATTTGTCACAGTAAGAAGGCTGTAAACTCCATTGTCAGAAACAATTTACTGAAAATTTATCAACTTGTTCTTTACTTGTAAGATCAGCAATGATTTTACCATCCCAGTAGTACATTACATGCAGTTTGGAACTTGTCTTGTAAAGCTGTTGCTTGCTGTGTCCTGTGTTCAATTCTTCTTCTGCGAATTGTATCACGATTGAGGGTGATATCATCAATTCCGTGACAGAGGCTTTTCATAGTTTCTGCAATAACAAAGGTTGCTTTACAATCAGATAACTTCGTCCTGTCAAAGGCAGCTGCTAGCTTTGGTGTGATAATATTTGTTATGCCTCTCTTTCTCTTACTTGATGTCTGAGATAAGCTGCTTCCAAATGCTCCATCACTAGTTACTCTGTCTCCTTTACAGCTTGCATCTTCTTCAGTATCTGTGCTGCTGCTTGAGGATATTAGTTCTGCTATTTCTTTATCAGTTCTCTTCATGTCTTCCATTCTACATTTTCTGTTAGGCATCCATTCCTGTCTTTGTGCTGATCGTTTCTCCTTTGCAACTAATTTTGCATCCACAACTACTATTGACCCTTTACGTCCTTTTTTTACGCTGAGCTAACAATAACTCACGATCCTCTGGAATTTTTTATCATTTCAAGTGCTCTAAGATGAGAGATGTCAAAAAGTTTGTCTAATTTACTAACAAATTTAGCCTCATTTGTTTTCTGTGTCACAGATTGTTGACCCTTGTTTTTCTTCAGCAAATGTCATTATTCAAATATTTGTTTTAGTTTGGTTATGCAGTTTCTTGGATCCATCATTGGGATCCTTGCCATTTCATAAAATAAGGCCAGCTTTTTGACTGTAACAGCTGATGACTGTCCAATAGTTTGTTTCAGTTGAAGATAACGATGTAAAAACAAACCAAGAGTCTGATGTAAGGATGGCAACTTGTTGCCAATTAATTCAGTTACTGTTGAACCAAGGAGGTATATTTCAGTTTTAGATCTAGTTGCCGCCGCTGCCATATTTATTATTTAATAACTTTGCCAAAATGAACAAAAATGTATTATGTGATTTGTTTGAGCATTTTTTGGATTATATACATCTGATGATATCAGCAGTCCTCTAGCAATGTGCCTGAACTTGTCCATACAAGCCAAATAGCCAATAGATGCTGATGTAAGCAGTATGAGTAATTGAGTCAGCCTCAACCAGAAACAGGGAAAAACATTTGCAGCAAAACTTGATGTCAGCAAAATAATGATCATGAATCATGACAGAAATTAATTTTGTGGAAATGTCATGTAACTAATGTGTGATTAATGTGTGAGTAATGTGTGGTTTATTTATTGAGATGACCAATTACAATTTTACAAACTGTTGTACTAAAATGGATACATTGTGGTTCAAGCTCGTGATTGCCATATGCTCATCCTTACTATTTGGAATCTATAAAACTTCACCAATGGAGCTACCAGTAAATATTCACTGATGGAGTAGATTTTTGGCACAAATGTTTTCTATATATATTAGAATGGAAATAGAGGGTAGGAGATTCACATTTACAAATTTTGAAAAGCTCCACCCTATAGATCAGCTAACATGATTCACAATACTATTAAATTTTAAGACTTTTTTTGTTATAAAATATACTTTAAAATAAAATTTATCTTAAATGCAATTACAAAAGTTACATGATAAATAATAACAACTCTAGACTTTAATCAAAAATCTAAATTATTACAGGACTTGTGAGCAATTTGAATAATAAGTTAATTACACAGTTTATTGATTACATGCTATATTTTAATGATTGGATTTTATATTGTTTGCTGTTTCATTAATTCAAGGTCACCTGGAAAAATAACCAGCACAAATCATATTGATGTTTGAATTTTATAAAAATTTATGCATTTTTTTTTTGTTTCTGTCAGGATGATAATGCTATATAATTATGAAGCTGTGATAATATAAGTTTTTTTGCTTATTTTACATTAATTTTATGTAATTTTAAATGTAATTTTTCTTCTTCATTCACAATCATGTGTTATTATTAATAAAGAAGAAAAATACCTTTTGTGATATATATTATCAAAAAATTATTTTTACATAATAATCAAAGATAAATATACTAACAATTATTAAATTAGATACTTTACATTTTGATAATAATATAAATAAATAAATAAATAATTTAATTAATTTATTTATATAATTATTTAGGAATTAAGAATTGAGAAGGAAATATTTTATATTATAAACTGTAAAAAATTTACCCTTTTGTTAATAAAACTCAATTTTATCTTTTATAGTAGCAGAGTTCAATATGATAGATGAATCATCATTAAACTGTCATTTTACTTAAAGTTATCTTTAAATTGCGGTCAATCGAACTGATCAAATTTCCTGATACAATACTATTATCTTTAAGTATTGCAAGCCTATTATTTTTTCAAGATCAATAAAAAGTTTTAGATCTTTCACAAGCATTAAACAACTTCTGAATATTTTCACTTTAATAACTATTGATCATTGAATTTTATCTTTTTATTCCTTTATTATTATTACTGTATACTTAGCCTTCATTTTCCTTGCTACTTAAGTAAAAAAGTTTTTTTTTATACTAAAATTTATTTTGATTTCTCTATTTTTAGTTTTAAAATATACAGTAATAATGTTTTATTTGAAATATATTAATTTATACATTCTGTAAATTAATATATTATTAAAGAAATTCTGTGTAATCTGTATATTTTATTTCATTCAATTCATTAATAAAAAACTATATTCAGATTAACTGTATATGTAGACTCAATTCATGAATTAAATGAAATGGTCTTACTATAATAATATATACATATATAAATTGTTTGTTAAAAATATAATAAAGCATTAAGATATTTAAGAAAAACCTTTAAAAAAATACATCTTTCAATATACAAAGTATACTAACTGAAATAGAACTGTTTTATTTGGAGAATTTACAAACATGTTCAGAATCAAGTGCTTTTGGAGCTATATCCATCCTTGAGATTTACAATTCTCTAAAAACAGTTTTTAAAAGTTCAATTAGTACTGATTCTAGTATAAAATCACAAAAACAAAATGGAATATTCTTGAAACTTTCAAATTTTTTAAGTTGAAAAACCAATTACATATTTGTGAGACATTCTAACTGAAATAAAAAGGGTCTGAATGTGCATGTGTAAATTCTCCATATAAAGCAGTTGTTTTAGTTTGGACACAAAATGTACTGAAAAACATTGTAATTTAACATTATAAAACAGCATTTTAAATCAAATAAGAATCTCTATTGAAGAAAATTTAATCAGACAGATGTTTGAATTATTGCCAAATCATAATTTATTTTAACAAAATGTTATTTAATTTTCTTTTCACTAAATGAAATATATTTTAAAATAAATAATATATATTTTTTTATACTTTTGAAAGGTCTTATATATATAAATATAGCTATTGAAATAACATATTTCATAGTATTATAATAAATTTCAAAATTATTTTTCATTTTAAACATAAAATGTAATACATTTGATATATTAAAATGTTATTTACTTCGATAGCTAATGTTAAATTTAAAATGTGTCATTATTCATAAATCAATTAATTAAATACAGTTTATTAAAAATGGTAAGTGATATTTAATTAATATTATGTTACTCATTTATAAATACTATATTAATCAATTTTTTAATTTAGATTATAATTAGAATTATAATCAATCAAATGATCAATCTTGTGAAGTTTTCAAAAGAGAAAAGTAATGTATGAACTGAATAACATTAAATATTATTATGATTAAATTATTTCATCAACCATTTTCTCACATTTGAATATGACTGTTCACCTTTAAGCTTAATTTATTTTCAGATCCTGTGAAGTAAACTAAAAATAGATCTAATTTTAAATCATTCAAAAATGATTAATTATTTTAATGAAATTTTAAATAATAACAATAAAAAGTACATCTTTCGAAGGTGGATATTGCAAAATTTAAATCGATTTCGACTATTTATAGACGAGGAAATATCTAAAACATCCGCGAAACAAGTGATCCCACGTCACTAAACACGACCCGTCGTTTAACTTTAAATTAAACAACGTTGACACCACCCGGATACGGAAAAACGTATCTATGGCATGACAAAAACAAAGATATTTTAAAAAATGTTAATGTTATATCGTACAATACTTGATAATAGCAATGTTGACCGGCGCTCTAGCAGTCACCATCATCACGTCCATCTTCTCTTCCCCGTAATCTTCATTCTCTTCCAATCCCCAGACACGAAGCAATCTCTTGAGCCGTTTCAATGCAATGACCGATAAACCGGCAACGATAACCGATAGTTGGTCAGTCATGCATGCGATCCAGTTCTTACTTCCTACCTCTCCGTTATCGCTCTAAATACACGTCTATCATGTTCCTTTACTCATATTTGAGCTTCTCTACTCTGCTTACGTTCCGCAACTTTAATAACCGACGTGACTACCTCGATACGGGTGCCATTTTTTTGCCTGTATTGATAAATCGATCGTTTAAGTTTCTCGTACGCCGCCAGGGGGATATAAGTCACATTTTAAAATAGGATTTGGGCGGGATTATGTAACGTGTTTCGACTTCGTATTTAAAGTCTTGTATCGAGTTTACAGATTTGTTTTTAAAGCCCTTTAAGTTAATTAGAAAATTGTCTTGCCGTTCTTTCGAGTTATAAAGTGATGGAAGACCGTGACGTTAACTATTTTCGCCAACTTCTTCAAAATGAAAAGCAATTCCTGCTTCAGTTAGGCCAAAATTGGCAGAATATTCTTGATTCCAACACAGAAATTAGCGAAGAAAGTAATTATTTTAAGTTATATAATTTCCAAGTAATATTATATATATGTGTGTGTGTGTATAGATATATATACATTATTTTTTTACATAATTTTTTGTCAAATTTAGAAAATACTGCTTAATTACTACTTATAAGTGATTTGTTTGGATGTAATTTATTATCAAGCAATCTCTAAAGACATTACAAAGTCATATATTAGGCAGGAAAACTCTGCGACAATAACTTTTTTAATGTAGTTAAATAACTTCTAATGTATTGTTTTTAACTATAAATTGTTCAGTTACCAAATTATTACTAAAGATAACTTCAGTTAAAATGCTGTTAAATTACATTTTGAACCATGTATTTGTCAGAGCTTAATTTTGGATTTCTCACTTTAATATTTTCTTTTAATTATTTTAATGAAATTTTAAATAATAACAATAAAAAGTACATCTTTCGAAGGTGGATATTGCAAAATTTAAATCGATTTCGACTATTTATAGACGAGGAAATATCTAAAACATCCGCGAAACAAGTGATCCCACGTCACTAAACNTCATTTTAATATTTTCTTTTAATTATTTTAATGTGATTTTGATTCTATGAATTATAATGTATCCTAATTAACTTTTCAATAGTAATATAAATAACAATTAATTAAATAGGTCCAAAAATGAAAATTATCAGGTTGGTACAAAGTTTTCTGTAATTCTATTATTAGATTGATCAGAAGTTGGATGAATTTAATGATCTTTGTTAGGAAAATTTTATTATGTTAATTTATTCAATGAATTTTTAAGATTAAATATTTTCTAATAACATCTGGTAACTTTTAAATTTGAGATATAAACATATATAATGATATTCACATCATATAATGTTGTTTTGCACTATACACTTGCATCACCTGTATACATAATGTTTCTGTATAAGAAAAAATTATAAGGTTGAAATTATCATTTAAAATTTTTAATATTTCATATTTGAGTTTATTGATAACCTTATATATTAGGATTAATTATCATCTTGAATATCATGAATTTAAATTTGATTTCATAATAGGTCTATTGTATTTATCCATTTAAAATCACTTGTTTATGCCTTTAAATTCTAAGAAAGTCTTAATAAATTATAATAGTGAGACTAGAAATGATTGCCATTCTGTTGTTTGTAGACTAGGGGTTCTCAACCTTCCTTGCTTATTGACCTCTTTCCAAAATTAGATTTAATTCACCAACCTTTTTCTGCACTGATGCAAAATAAGAATAGTCTAAATTAAAAATATTAAATACAGTTTATTAAAAATGGTAAGTGATATTTAATTAATATTATGTTACTCATTTATAAATACTATATTAATCAATTTTTTAATTTAGATTATAATTAGAATTATAATCAATCAAATGATCAATCTTGTGAAGTTTTCAAAAGAGAAAAGTAATGTATGAACTGAATAACATTAAATATTATTATGATTAAATTATTTCATCAACCATTTTCTCACATTTGAATATGACTGTTCACCTTTAAGCTTAATTTATTTTCAGATCCTGTGAAGTAAACTAAAAATAGATCTAATTTTAAATCATTCAAAAATGATTAATTATTTTAATGAAATTTTAAATAATAACAATAAAAAGTACATCTTTCGAAGGTGGATATTGCAAAATTTAAATCGATTTCGACTATTTATAGACGAGGAAATATCTAAAACATCCGCGAAACAAGTGATCCCACGTCACTAAACACGACCCGTCGTTTAACTTTAAATTAAACAACGTTGACACCACCCGGATACGGAAAAACGTATCTATGGCATGACAAAAACAAAGATATTTTAAAAAATGTTAATGTTATATCGTACAATACTTGATAATAGCAATGTTGACCGGCGCTCTAGCAGTCACCATCATCACGTCCATCTTCTCTTCCCCGTAATCTTCATTCTCTTCCAATCCCCAGACACGAAGCAATCTCTTGAGCCGTTTCAATGCAATGACCGATAAACCGGCAACGATAACCGATAGTTGGTCAGTCATGCATGCGATCCAGTTCTTACTTCCTACCTCTCCGTTATCGCTCTAAATAAACGTCTATCATGTTCCTTTACTCATATTTGAGCTTCTCTACTCTGCTTACGTTCCGCAACTTTAATAACCGACGTGACTACCTCGATACGGGTGCCATTTTTTTGCCTGTATTGATAAATCGATCGTTTAAGTTTCTCGTACGCCGCCAGGGGGATATAAGTCACATTTTAAAATAGGATTTGGGCGGGATTATGTAACGTGTTTCGAATTCGTATTTAAAGTCTTGTATCGAGTTTACAGATTTGTTTTTAAAGCCCTTTAAGTTAATTAGAAAATTGTCTTGCCGTTCTTTCGAGTTATAAAGTGATGGAAGACCGTGACGTTAACTATTTTCGCCAACTTCTTCAAAATGAAAAGCAATTCCTGCTTCAGTTAGGCCAAAATTGGCAGAATATTCTTGATTCCAACACAGAAATTAGCGAAGAAAGTAATTATTTTAAGTTATATAATTTCCAAGTAATATTATATATATGTGTGTGTGTGTATAGATATATATACATTATTTTTTTACATAATTTTTTGTCAAATTTAGAAAATACTGCTTAATTACTACTTATAAGTGATTTGTTTGGATGTAATTTATTATCAAGCAATCTCTAAAGACATTACAAAGTCATATATTAGGCAGGAAAACTCTGCGACAATAACTTTTTTAATGTAGTTAAATAACTTCTAATGTATTGTTTTTAACTATAAATTGTTCAGTTACCAAATTATTACTAAAGATAACTTCAGTTAAAATGCTGTTAAATTACATTTTGAACCATGTATTTGTCAGAGCTTAATTTTGGATTTCTCATTTTAATATTTTCTTTTAATTATTTTAATGTGATTTTGATTCTATGAATTATAATGTATCCTAATTAACTTTTCAATAGTAATATAAATAACAATTAATTAAATAGGTCCAAAAATGAAAATTATCAGGTTGGTACAAAGTTTTCTGTAATTCTATTATTAGATTGATCAGAAGTTGGATGAATTTAATGATCTTTGTTAGGAAAATTTTATTATGTTAATTTATTCAATGAATTTTTAAGATTAAATATTTTCTAATAACATCTGGTAACTTTTAAATTTGAGATATAAACATATATAATGATATTCACATCATATAATGTTGTTTTGCACTATACACTTGCATCACCTGTATACATAATGTTTCTGTATAAGAAAAAATTATAAGGTTGAAATTATCATTTAAAATTTTTAATATTTCATATTTGAGTTTATTGATAACCTTATATATTAGGATTAATTATCATCTTGAATATCATGAATTTAAATTTGATTTCATAATAGGTCTATTGTATTTATCCATTTAAAATCACTTGTTTATGCCTTTAAATTCTAAGAAAGTCTTAATAAATTATAATAGTGAGACTAGAAATGATTGCCATTCTGTTGTTTGTAGACTAGGGGTTCTCAACCTTCCTTGCTTATTGACCTCTTTCCAAAATTAGATTTAATTCACCAACCTTTTTCTGCACTGATGCAAAATAAGAATAGTCTAAATTAAAAATAGAATGAAATAAAAGAATCAATTAAAAATTAATAATAATTTTATTATTATACAATTTTGGATTTTGATTTATTTATTTTTTTGTTAAAATTTTTTAAAAATGCATCAAATTATTAT